TGACCCTCATGTCATTTCAAACCTGTATGACTGACTTTCTTTAGTGGAATATAAAAGAAGATATTTTGAATGTTGGTAACCAAACAATTTCAGTCCCCTTTCACTTCCATTGTTCATTGAACAAAATATGATGGAAGTCAATGGGAACTAAAACTATTCGGTTTGATGATGATTACAGAAGAATTTTCATTTTTGGGTGGACAGTCCCTTTAACCTGCAAATAATGAGTCAAGTAAGGCATTAAAAGAATTGCAGTCAGTGTTTCTTGAACTTTGTTAATCACAATGTACAGTGGTGTGAAAAAGTGTTGGCCCCCTTTCTGATTTCTTGTTTTTTTGCATGTTTGTCACACTTTAACGTTTCAGATCATCAAACAAATTTAAATATTAGTAAAAGATAACACAAGTACCAACAGTAAAATATGGTGGTGGTAGTGTGATGGTCTGGGGCTGTTTTGCTGCTTCAGGACCTGGAAGACTTGCTGTGATAAATGGAACCATGAATTCTGCTGTTTACCAAAAAATCCTGAAGGAGAATGTCCGGCCATCTGTTCGTGACCTCAAGCTGAAGCGAACTTGGGTTCTGCAGCAGGACAATGATCCAAAACACACCAGCAAGTCCACCTCTGAATGGCTGAAGAAAAACAAAATGAAGACTTTGGAGTGGCCTAGTCAAAGTCCTGAGCTGAATCCTATTGAGATGCTGTGGCATGACCTTAAAAAGGCGGTTCATGCTCGAAAACCCTCCAATGTGGCTGATTTACAACAATTCTGCATAGATGAGTGGACCAAAATTCCTCCACAGCGCTGTTACAGACTCATTGCAAGTTATCGCAAATGCTTGATTGCAGTTGTTGCTGCTAAGGGTGGCCGAACCAGTTATTAGGTTTAGGGGGCATACACTTTTTCACACAGGGCCATGTAGTTTTGGATTTTGTTTTCCCTTAATAATAAAAACCTTCATTTAAAAACTGCATGTTGTGTTCACTTGTGTTATCTTTGACTAATATTTAAATTTGTTTGATGATCTGAAACATTAAAGTGTGACAAACATGCAAAAAAATAAGAAATCAGGAAGCTGCATGATATATTAAAATAAAATCAAAACCGAAATGGTACATTTATGAAATAAAAAAATTCTGCTATTTAATTAAAATGTGCACACAGAGTGAAGCACTTATTTTTACACAGAGATATTTGGAAACGCAATGTTCGTCACTGATTTAACTGGATTTGTAATGAGAAGTGTCTATAAATCTGTTTCCAAATCTCAGTGGTCTGATGTTTTAAAATAAATTAAGATTTAAATATTAGTATTGTAATTTTACAGTTGTGAAATCAGTAAAACAATTCTCACTATGAACTAGTTGCTTATTAGTATACCTATTATTAACATATTGGCTGTTTATTAGATCTTATAAAGCTCATTCTGCATGACCCTATTCTACATTCCTAATTCTACACAATACCTAAACTTAACAACTGCTAATGAGCAGCAAATTAGGAGTTTATTGAGGCAAAAGTCGTAGTTAATGGTTTAATGACGAGAATTGGACCTTAAAATAAAGTCTGATAAAATAATTTTCATTAAATACTCTTTTTGTTTGCTTTACAGTACAATAGTATTCTTATTTCATTTTATATATAAGTTATTATCATTATTATTTTATAGTCATATTGAATAGGTCAAAAACAATGAGAAAGTGGCCTATGATAACTCAATTGGACAGTTTTTTTTTTTTTATAACCGTTTACTGGTTTATGGTTACTGAAAAAAGTTTGAGGTTGAAACTTAATTTTTTCCCCCCAGGTTTTCCTATATATTTCAGTCCCAGAAGGATGGTTCACACCAAAAATTATGCCTACAAGAAAAAAAAAAAAAGCAATCTTTTGGCTTGTTTTCATTTTCTATGCAGATGCACTGCCATACAAAATCACCCCAATAATTCTAGAACGATTAATTCCAAATAGAGCTTTTCAGGTGAATTGGAATTTTTTTTTATTCAAATCACAATGTTTATTGCAGGAAAAAAATGCAATTTTGTTCTAAGATTATGCAACACAAAATATTAACACACAAATAACTAATAACACTAATAACTAATAGTGTCTTACCATTTCACTCAACTTTTATTAGATTTTAAGTAGAAAAAGAATGTCTAGTTGTTTTTTAGTTTTATTTTACATTTAAATATTTGCTTTAGGCTTTATATAGGAATAGTAGGAGTTTATATCTAAAATGATCGACAAGGAATTCACATTAAAGTTCACTTTCAGTTCTTTTAAGCTTCATATTAAAGTGACACATTTGCTATATATATTCAGCAGTTTAAAAAATATATATTGTTTGTGTTTAATTTCAGAGAGGAAGACGACCCAGCAAACTCAACATCATCATACCAGGAGATCTGATGGATTCTTCTTCATCTGTTTACCTGCAGCGCTGACAATGACCCATCTTCATGTTTCCATCCCTGTTTTGCCTGCTCATTTTGTAACTCTACCTTTACACAAACTGCAACACCGGACCACACACCACACTCTTGTGCTGAAGGTCCATCATTGCCTTCTTCAGCAGTATTATAGTGATGTTATTTCTGACTTTTATCATTAATGCTCCATCTCACATAACAGTAAAGAAGCTACAGCCGAGCTTGTCTTTGTCTTTAGGAAGAGCAATAGCCATCCACATCACAAACTTATGATAACCTCTGCTCATATGAAATACTGTATCTGCGGTCTGTCCAGTAACGTTACTTAGCCGGACTCTTTGTGGCTGCCTGCTGATTTTAATTTATCTTTTTTTTTTTTTTTGCCTATAAAAGCTTTATGTGTGGGGTTGAAAGGGATAAATAATGCTGTTTTGGTGTGAATGTTGTGTTTTTGTGTTAATAAAAATATTTTACTGTGCTGTTTGATTTGGATTATGCAGAATAAATGCTTCTGTAAATGAAGAGCTTCCCGTTTTGTGGATTATTGATCTTCAAGAAAAGTTTGGGTTATTATAGGATGGATCTCACCTTTCAGCATTACCACAGAAACTTTAAAGGGATAGTTCACCCAAAAATGAAAGTTCTGTCATAAATTACTCACCCTCTTGTCGTTCTAAACCCGTAAGACCTTCGTTCATCTTCGGAACACAAATTACGATATTTTTGATGAAATCTGAGAGCTCTCTGATCCTCCATAGACAGCAAGGATACTACCACGATCAAGGCACAGACACGTAGCACGGACATCGGTAAAATAGTCCATATGTGATATCGGGTTCAACCGTAATTTTACAAAGCAGCGAGAATACTTTTTGCGTGCAAGGAAAACAATGATAACATAATTTATTCAACAATTCTTCTCCCCGAGTTACCGTCTTCCGCCATTTTGGAGAGTACACCAGAACGTAATCAGCGTTGTTTACGATCAATAGAATAAATGTTATGTTTAAGTTCAGTTGAATAAATTGTTTTCTTTGCACACAAAAAGTATTCTCGCTGCTTTGTAAAATTACGGTTGAACCCCTGATATCACGGTCTTACGGGTTTGGAACGACATGAGGGTGAGTAATTAATGACAGAAGTTTCATTTTTGGGTGAACTAACCCTTTAACGAACACTCCAGGAAGTAGAGATTTGTTAGATAACAGCCCTTTGGGAAATAAACTTTTGGCAAAAAAAAAAGTTAGCTGCAACATTTCATTTTAGCTGTATTGCTAATATGATGACTCCGAATGAAATAGCATAGGGTCAAAATACATTGGGAAAATGTAAACAAAGAATTAAGAATTTTATATAAGGAACATAAAAATAATCTCATGAAACTAAAGTATAAAATGTAGTCATCAGAAATATCACTGTTCTGAGTAACAACAGGTGTTGTAAAATATGATAAGGCTAAGCTATAAAACATATGTGACACTTGCTCCAATAAAAATGTCGCCCAACCTACATTTATGAAATGTTTTCCAAACCAGTGGTTTTATTGAGTTCACGTTTACCCAACAGCTGCAGCTAAATTTGAGTTTGGATCTGTTTTAGAGTTGAATCGAGTTTGTTTGCTACTCGATGAACTTACAACAATGACACTATCATTAAATTGAAATTGAACTGAAGAATAACTGAATTGAGCTCAATAATGAATTGAATTCATTTTTGAAGAATAATGGAAGAATTTAGCGATATTAATACTGTCATTTTCCTGTTTATTACCTTTAAGGTGGTTTTAAATGATCTTAGATAAAGTCCCATATAAAATGTATATGACACTTTAACCTAGTGAAAAATAAATATACTAAAATGTATTTGAAATACATTTATTTTATGCTAAGTATTCTACAAATACATTTTTTATGCACTTAATAAAAATACCCTGCAATTGTATTTTTGGTATACTAAACTGGTATATTTGAAGTCTGAAACTAATTTTATACTTAATGCACTTTAATTATGCCCGAAGTAGTGCTGAAGTCCAATCAAAGATATAATGAAGTATATTTGATTGTGCTAAAGTGGAACTATTGCAAGTATACTTTCAGGTAGCTACACTTTAAATATCTTGCATTTAAAGACTGATATTATTCAAAGGTCATACAATCAATCAATAGTCACAATAAAACATATTTTAGGCTTAATATTAAGAAATGTGCATTGTGCACAAGTAGTACATCAAACATAAAATTGGTTTATAGAAAGATCAAAACCTTAAAAAATGACAACCACGGAAGTTAAGTAATTAAAGAAAGGCAATGTTTAATAGATTTTTGGAAAAAAACACGATATTTACATTTAAAAATACTTGATTTTTGTGAATCTATAGCATGTGGAATATACAGAGTCAAATAGTGGAGAAAGAAAACCAAGAAAATCAAACTTAAGATAGAGAAGGGAGATATAAAGATATAAAGACTGCCCCCTACAGACTGGGAGACAAAACAACAACAGAGGAGAAAAGCAATTCACTGACAGTCCAGTTTGGTTGGTTGGTTGGTTGGTTGGTTGGTTGATTTGGTTTTTTTTTTTGGTTGGTTGGTTGGTTGGTTGAGAAACAATAATACAGATTCTTCTGCTTCATCAAATAAGAGAAAATGCTAAACACCATACATGAATGAATATTGCGTACAGATACAGTATATGCATATGATGCTGTAAAAGTCTATTGCAAAAGAGGGACAGGTGCAAAAGCTTCTATTTTCACTGATTTGCAAGTCATACCGAAAAATCCACCGAATTTCATTCTTCTAGTAGCCAGTGCTGTTATTCTGTCCTAATGCATAAGAACACATACAACTCAAATGTGATTTGTGGCTTATCTAGAACTACATTGTGTTCTATTGCTGACAGCACTGAGAGGATATTGCCTTCTGAAGGGAATTATTCTGCAGAAATACTGTCTGAGTTGCAGACTAAATCTTGTTTATTAGGAGTTAAAGCATTAGGATCTGTGTTAGTATGCCCGGTCCAAGTATTTAGTAGATAGTCTAACTGTTACACTATTACATGTGAAGCTGGACTTGTGGTTCCTACAGGCTACCGTAGATTCTCTTGATCACGTCACCTTCGTCCTTCTCAAGGATGCCTTTGTCGATGTATGCGTCCACCTGCTGGTCCATGAAGTCCCTCAGCTTGGAGAGGTCATAATCTTCAACAGAACACAGGAACTGATCAGTACAGAAATGTAGCAGTTTCTGAGTGCAAATGTTTATTATTATTTTTTCCCCCAGTGATGTTACAAAGCATTAAAACATTAAGTGATGTTAAATAAAAAGTAATCATTATTATAATAATTTAAAAAGTAATATTACATTTTAAATTGTATGTTAATTTAATTTAATAAAATTCAATTATGAATTAAATATTAAATTTTTAATAAAGGGAATTGTAAAATATTTAGTTAAAGATGTCTAAATGAATGAATAAATGAAAAAAATGATATATTTCCCTGTTTAAAAAATTCTTATTTAACAGAGAGAAATTATTAAAAATGTTTGTTAGTTGTATTAAATAATTAAAAATATTTTATTATTAAAAATTAAAAAAGGCTTATTTTGTATTTTGTACTAAACTATGCATTTAAAACTATAATATCATAAATAAATAAATAACGTGACATTTCCCCTTTAAAAATAATCGTATTTAACAAAGAGGAATTATTTAAAATATTTGTTAGTTGTAAACACAAATGTTTATTTTATAAATGTATGAAGGAAACTATAAACTATTTATTTAAAACTACAATCTCTATAAGAAAGAAAGAAAGTTGTATTTCCCCTTTAAAATATTAATATTTAACAAAGAGAAATTATTTAAAATATTTTTAGTTGTATTAAATAACTGAAGATATTAAATAAAAATAACAAAAATGTTTATTTTATAAATGTATACAGGAAGTCATAAAATGTTTATTTAAAACTACAATAACAACAAACAAACAAACACAAATAAATGTGCTATTCCCCTCTTAAAAATAAGTTTTTCCCCCCTTAAATCCCTTTTTAATTTCATTATGTTTAAATGCATATTTGCCTTATCACGCTCAAAATTTCAACTCTGCAGAACTTTTGTCTTGGGAAAAAAATCACCGTGATCAATGTTTTATAGAAAAATATTGTTCTTTGCTTAAACTGCAAAAACATTAACTGAGTAATGTGGCATGGTGCTATTTTTTCTTCAGTGTTATTTTTGCACTTAACTTCAGTTTCGTAACACATTCGCTCTAACGAGGGTGGCACCAAACACATTTCAGATGAGAAATGTTAAGCGCTATATACATGTAAATCTGTAAGCTGGTTAAAACAATGTAGTTTTTCATGCTAAAAAAAAGGCTGTAACCTAGAATCATTTAAACAAATACTTGAAATGTGGGAGGCAAGCCACACAATGGCCTGATTGTATGTTTTCTTTCTAGAAATGATGATGTTATTATCAGTGGATATCAAAGATCATCCATAAATGCCTGTTAGTGTATCAGTGTAAGTCTGCGTGAGAGTGGGTGTGTGTGGGAGAGAGTGAAAGCCAAAAGACTCACAAAGCAGTAAATATGTATAAATCCACTTCCAAATTCACAAGTTTTGGCACAGCATGTGTGTGTGAAAGTGTTTTGAGTACATTGTGTGGGTTGAAAAAACTGCAGGCTATCAGAAGAGCGTGTGTTGGTGAATGTTTTTATGTGTGGGTTCTGGCAAAATTTCTAGACCAGTGGATACACTGACCATTACAATGGAATAAGACTGGACAGTCCTCACAGTCCTCACACGGTGTGTACAGAGCCGTGGAGTTTCCTCCAGACCTCACACGCTTCCTGACTCAGTGACTCCTACTGTGTCTGTATTAGTGGCCATAATGACTATGACTCATGCTGTATATAAAACATTCACTCACACGTCTTGATGTGTATAATCGGAGATTTTAATGTTGCATGAACATGGATGGTTGATGTTACATTACCGTTCAAACATCTGGGTTAAAAAAAATTATAATTTTATTCAGGAATTAAGGATGCATTAAACTGATCAAAGGTGACAGTAAAAGCATCGTTACAATTTTCTAATTAATTAATTAATATATATATATATATATATATATTAGGAACCATTTTAGGATCCTCAGATTTGTTTTTTCATTTATTTATTTATTTATCTATCTGTTTGTTTGTTTGCATTGAGACATTAATTTAAACATATTAATTAAACATATAAAAAAAAAAAAAAAAAACATTGCAGTAATGAGAATTGTCCTAAAATAGGCTTTATTTGCTTTATGCAATTATATTCTTTTTTTCTTTTTTCTTTTATGATTATTATGACCTGGACATGATTCACCCGTCTAGACGGTAACAGTCTGCCTCTAATGAATCTGTTTTGAATTTGAACAATAGTGCAAGAGTTCTCATTTTCTGAGCTGAGCAGATGATGCCTGAAGAACACAGACAGTGTTTGAGTCTCATGCTGGCAGGTATGAAGAGAGGAACACACAGATCTTTTGTCAGAAACGCAGCAGCCTTGCATCGCTGTAACACAGCCAAGCTCATCAAACCGACGCATATTCATGAGCGCTCTCACCCACGCTTATTTTAATTGCAAATTGAGAGAAAGAAAAGAGTCTTTAATTCGACTGTTCTTCTCCATGTTTCACTGAATTGTGTGTAACCTTGGGTTAGGGGTAAACCCTTTAACAGCTCTAAGAGAGTGAGATAAGGCAGTTTACCAGTTTATCACGGATTACCAGTGTGTTTACTAGCAGTATAGGATGGTATTTCTGTATCATTGTCATTTTCCAAATCTAAAAACAGCTTTGTCAATTATTTTTGAGCTAATATTCTGTAAAATTGGTGTTTATTTATTTTGGCAACATTTGAGGATCTACATATAATTTTCCATCTTTGAATTGTGTTATGCATGTAGGCTGCTGGCCTATATTACATTAATGTAACTTATTATTTCAATTATTTGTTTAAATATATTTCTATATATTATTTTTTAAATATATTTTCTGTTTAAACATTTCTTATTCTTCATTTAAATAGATGGATAAATATTAAATGGATAAATAGATGGATATAACTATTTAATAGATGAATGGATTATTATTTTATTGTTTGTTAAAATATACATCTTTGTAAATATGTCTTCTTATTAGCTTCTTTTCAGTATATTATCATTAATAATAATAAGTATTATTATTATATATACCTCATGTGCAATGTTGCTAGAGAACATAGAGTTGAATTATGTACAGTACATGGACAGTTTGGTGTTACCAGTGTTGCTATAGTAACAGATAATTTCCGTAAGTCCATAAGTTCTGAGCTGTCACCTCATAATCGTGGCAATTCAAACATGAAAGCAGCATAAATGTATAATGGGTGTGTTCTAAATGCTGCTTGGGTAATAATCGGAGGTGATTATCACAGCTTTTAACAATAATGTTCAGTACTTTTCAAAGAATCAATAAACGTCTCCCTGAACAAGGCCTCATAATTGTATTCATTACTGTTAGTCCACTGTGAGCGTGTTACAGCGATGCCCTCAATCTGCCGGGCTGCTGCTGCAGAGTCTCTCCCTATGGGACTGAAACTCTCGCTGTATCTCTGAAACACACACACTGCAGTCGTTTCCGGTCGAACTGCAGGTTAGTGTTGAATTCTGTATTTGATACAGGCTTATCAGTGTATCTGCCTCAGCTCTACTGCTAGAGCGTCCAGTTAAACAGCTCAGTTACACCAGCAGAAGCTGAGAGGCTTTTAATATCATCCCAAACCATAAGCATGTGAAGATGATACAGGATCCTTCATTTACTCACTGATTTCAGCAGCAGTCTGGACGTCTTTGGTCGAGTCTTTGAGAGTCTCATACTCCTTCTGCATGTTGGCAGCTTCTGTTTTGGTGTTGTCATCATCATCCAATGCTTTTCCTGGAAGGAGGTGCGATGAGGGGGGAAAACAGTATAGTGATGCCAAAGCCTTCCTGAGCAGAATCTACAGTGAATGACTTGCAGTTTGCAGTGTTATGATCTGCGGTGGGTCTGATTTACCTGTAGGGGGTGTAATGCTAAGAGGAACCAGAGATTTGCCCAGCTTGTTCTTGGTCTGCAGGGCAATCATTGCATCCAGATTTTCTGTGTGAAAACACAATATTTATAAATGTGACAATGTTACACAGATTACAAGCATTTTGGTGACTATATTTTTCTGATAACACTATACAATAAGGTCCCATAGTTAACATTAACTAACAATGATCAAGAAATTTGGGTTACAGTTTATTGTAAGGTGTCCTTGTTATACTATAATCAGGGTTTAAATTGGGCCGGGGCCGGCCGGGGCTGAGCCCCGGCACATAGACTCCAGGGCTCGACATTAACGCTTCATTAACGCCAGACAAGTAGCGTGATTAAAACATCAGTAACCAATAATAACTATGTAAACACAAAAACGCAAGTAGTATTCTGATTTTATTACATTTAGAGTAAGTGGCGAATAGTGGATATAGCTACTGTATAATGCATCTATTGACGGAATAAGGTTGCGCTGCTGAGGCGAGGCTCAGGAGAAATCAAAACGCACAACACTAACTCAGCATCCTGAGGTAAAAAATAAAAATGGAATGTGTTTATATTTAAAATTCAGTTATTTAGGCAACATCACACAACGTTTTCGCCATTACGACTGTCTAATAGTTCTATAAACAGTTCAATAAGCAAATACAATAATATTAGGTCACTTACATTGTAGGCGCAAACAGCGCATCTCACAGCAACAAGCCGATTCCGTGAGTGTAAATGATTTAATTTGATAACGTATAGATAATCACATTATTATGATTGAATTTATAGATCAAATGTAAGAATTTGAAATGAAAGTATTCATGAGATTAGTGGGAAAATGCCCTCTATAAAGGTAAAAAAAAAAAAAAAGCCCTTGGATAAAATATAAAAAACACGCAGATTTATATGTCACAGCTGATAGAAAACTTATGAGAATATTGCTTAAGAATAAATCATATTTGAAAACACACACACACACAAACACACACACACACACACACACACACACACATATATATATATATGCTCCATAACATAGAGCCCCCCCATAGAGAAAATTATTGACTATGCCTGATGAAGGTCAGTGGACCAAAACGTTGCTTTTGTTAATAAACTTCAATATATAGCAATAATTGATAGTGTGCGTGATTGCATCTTTTTATTTTTTATATTTTGTGAGTAAAAACGGGGAAAAAAAATCTGGGAATTCCCCTTTCTCCATAAATAATAATAATAATTATTATTATTACTATTATTACACATTTTACATTTTATTTTTTAATAATAAAAACATAATTTTAACAGTATTTTATTGTAATGTATAATTACTTGTTCATGTCTTAATTTATATTTAAGATTTATGTTTTATGTAATTTATGTTTTATTTCTAAAAAAATACAATATTTTTTAATTAAATTACATGTATTGTCTTTTTTAAACAACAACAACAACAACAACAAAAAGCAATATAGCTTTCACCATACATGGTACTTACAGATATCCAATAAATAGGTTTTTACTGTAACTTTGTTTAATTATAATTTCAACATGATTGCTACAGATGCTACAATTTTAGTAATGTCTATTTCTTCTCTTTTTGAGGTAAAAGAGTCCCATTACAATGACTGTAGTGTTTTTTTTTTATCTGATCAGAATTATCTTTTGACAACATAGAGCTTTATCCAGCACTCCATATGCAGATATGGATGTACGCTGTACTCATTATGTGTTGTGTACACACTTTTGTGTCTTGGAGCTGTTTGCCAATGACAAACACACATATTAGGGCAGAATGATAAGAGCCTCATCTCATGTTTAAACCACAGCAGATCAATAACCAGCCGTATCCTGGCAACACACCCTGCCATTCCATTTGATCTTTACAGCTCTGTCATCATATGGCACAGGTTGCCAGAGTAACCCCATTATTACGCAATGGAGAATTCCAAATTGTTATCTGTGTTCTATCATAACGACCGCGGCCATCTCATTAGAGAAACAGACAGAATTAATTACACGGAATGAAAGAGAGAGGGAACAAAAGAGAGAACGCTGGATGAATGAAACAGGATGCTGTTTGCTTGAGCATGTCTTGAACATATAAGGGCATGAGACGGACATGGCTTGTGTCCCCTTAAAATACATTGATCAAAGTTAATGAAATATAAACAAAAAATGTTGTGAACGATATTTCTGTGCAAAATCCTATTTATTCACTAAGCACATTTTTTTCTGAACATTAACACAGGTCAACTTATTCTACTAACCCTAAACCTAACCTAACAGTCTACTCTGAGAGTTAGTAGACATGTAGTTGCAAATTAATGAGGATTAGTTGACATGTAGTTGCAAAGTTTCTTATAGTTAGTAGAATGTCTAAAGTGGACTATCAAAATAAAGTGTAACCTAAAAATCTGCCACACATGAATGTGCACTTGCAGTGTACTACAAATTTTAAAAGTATGTTTGCAGAAGGAAAGAAAGAAAAAAATGAGCTTGCATATTAATAAAATTAAAGTCCAAGACCAAATGTCCTTGGAGAGAGTACACTTTCATGACTGTTTTTTAAGTACACTTTCAAAAAGTCCACTTTGTATGAATGTTTAATTGAAAAGTTTTACTTTAAAGTGCTTTTTAAATCATTATGTTTTTAATGATCTTTTGTCATACTTGAAATAAGTGCACTTATTTTGATGTGTTGACTGCTAAAGCACACATAAAGTACTTGATTATAATCTTAACTGTAGTGTTAGTGTCAGTTTTACGTTTTATATTAATATATTTTAAATACCATTTTGATTATGCAATTACAAATATTAATTGAACTGACATTAAAGTATATTTTAGTTTACAATAAATTCTTGTCAGTACATTTGGCGGTAATGATATTTCATAGACAAAAGAAGCAATTAAGTACATAAAAAGATGCACTTAAGTCCCACTTAAAACAATCAATCAATCAATCAAACTGCATTTAATTTAATTTTAAAATCAAATACAATTTTTATACATTTTTTAACTGTCCGAAAACATTACATTCAGTTTGCACTTAAGTATGTTATTTTATTTCCTTTTAATTTCAAAATATTTCAAAAAATATTATTTTTAAGATATTAAAAATATTATTTATTTCAAAAATATTATTTTTGTAATCAGTGCTCTTTTTAAAAGTATGCTAATGTGTATTTATTTTTCATGGGGTTGCCATAGTTTATGGCTGGCAACTACTTTAGTCATGGTCGATTATCCCAACCACAGCTTAAGATATATGGTATGCATTTTACAACCAAAGGCTATCTGGCACTGAAAATTGTACTTCTACAGTAAATGTTTGCTTAGTGGTTGTTATGGCTGCCATCAGTGAAGGAAACAAAAGTAAAAATTAATATTCATGAGTTAAGCCTTCAATTTTTAATCATATCATAAATGGCCCACCCACCGAACACATACAGTGATTTCACCACCAATTTTGTTAACTAATGTGACTTTTATGCTGTTGTATGATTGTACATAATGCACACACTGACACTGCATCTGCAGAAATCTGCTTCAAGTATGCACTCTATATTTGATTTGATAGGGACAAACATTTAACATTAGGAGCAAGTCAAAATACAGCTGCTCTCTCTCTTTCTCTCTCTTTCAGGCTGGACAAAGCATTATTTCAGGAACCAAATGCACACAAAAGCAGTCAGTCACATAAAGCTTATCTCAGGGATTCCCTTTTGCCCACGCGCACATACATCATGTCCTAACCAGTGTGCAAAACTACCAGTTACAAGTATTTACATCTATACTCACTAAAAGAGAAAATACTGTGTAATGTGACACAATAACAGCTAATCAAAACATATTTGTTGTTTAACACAAAAAGTAAAGCAGACAAAATATTCTTTGGTTCCCATTGAAGAGACAGCTTATATGACACATTGTGCTTGGTTGGGACAGTGCAAAAATGAGGGGACTCACTCAGAAATAAAATGGACGGGAGAAATCTCACGCTCAATATGGAGACTATTCAGTAAGTAAAAAAAAAAAGAAGCTATTTGCACTGCAAACCAGTGTGTTGTTTGACACCACATGCCTATTCAAATTAGAAATGGCCACTCTTTTGTCAAAAATAAGACGTACAGACAATTTTGGTCTTACCCAGATAAGAAACTCCTTCTTCAGGTGTGATGGTTCCATATTTGACCATCATCTTCACAAAGTCGATCAAAGTCTTCATGATGGTGATCAGGGTTTCTCTCTCCTCTTTATCCTGCTCTGTAAAATGAGAGGAGAAGGATGTGATAGATTAAGCAATGAGAGCAGACTTTAATCTGGATTAATGTGGTGCTTGATGAAGAAGAGGGCAGCTGAAACCACAGGAAATGTGTTTAACCAGATGGTGATGTTTCTACAGACCTTATAGCTGCTGATTTACTGAATGAGCTGTGTCGTGTTGTGTTACATTACTGTTTGTGTGGCTTTTGAGTGTGTTGTGTTGTGCTATACTCACGTGTGTGCATTTTTTGTACTTTTTTGACTTGCTTAAGTTGTAATTATTTCTATTTTCTTTGAAATATGGTTCAATAGTACTGCTGAATGTACTGACAAGCATTTAAGAACAATTAAAATATTATTTAATGTAATTTCTGTTGTACAGTTTGTCATGTATTTAAATATATTTGTAATTACACATTTATAAAGATGAAGTTTAAAATATATGAACTTTTAATTCAATATCTACGGAAGTTCTAAGCGGTCATGCATTATTATTATTTTCCTTCTTGTTTTCTCGTGATCACGACTTAATTTTGTCGTTATCACAACATAACAAAAGTAGTTTTCTCGTTATCACGACTTAATTTTCTCGTGATCTAGACATAACAAAAGTTGTTTTCTCGTGATCACGACTTATTTTTCTCATGATCTCGACATAACAAAAGTTGTTTTCTCGTGATCACGACTTAATTTTGTCTTTATCACAACATAACAAAAGTTGTTTTCTCATGATCACAACTTAATTTTCTCGTGATCTCGACATAATAATAATTGTTTTCTTGTTATCACGACTTAATTTTCTCGTGATCTCGACATAACAAAAGTTGTTTTCTCGTGATCACGACTTATTTTTCTCGTGATCTCGACATAACAAAACTTGTTTTCTCGTGATCACGACTTATTTTTCTCGTGGTCTCGACATAACAAAAGTTGTTTTTTCGTGATCACGACTTAATTTTGTCGTTTTCACAACATAACAAAAGTTGTTTTCTTGTTATCACGACTTAATTTTCTCGTGATCTCGACATAACAAAAGTTGTTTTCTCATTATCACAACTTATTTTTCTCGTGATCTCGAAATAACAAAAGTTGTTTTCTCGTGATCACGACTTATTTTTCTCGCGATCTCAACATAACAAAAGTTGTTCTCTAAGTTACACAACTGCGCCAACAGGTGGCAGTACAGAACTATTGATGGGGAGTTGTACAGGCCTACAATATCCACTAGGCCTATACTGTACGCGTTTGGGACAGAGGACCTTCTTCCTGATCACTATAATTTGTGCAGTTCATTACTGACATTTAATTAACTTATAAATGTTAAATGCTTGAATAAATATGATCATTTTGCTTGAAATTGTATCTGTTATCTTACGTTATTACTGCTGCACGACTCATCACAGTTTCTCATTTACAACGACATTGTAATGTGCATCTTTCTTATTTTTAATCTTTATCGTTAATAAATGTATATTAATAAGAAATGTGATTTACATATGTGTATAATTTAGTTCAATGATGTTATACCGTGTTGTGGCCTAATCTTTTATATTTTCTAAATTTCTTTGTAAACCGCACACACATAACCACATCAAAATAAGCACAACAAAATATTAAAACATGATGATTTAACATACTTTAAATTAAAACTTTTAATTTGACATCACAAAGTGCACCTTTTAAAAGTGTACTTAAGTGTGTTAAGACACGGTTATTAAATTGTATTCCCTTTAAGTACAGTTAAATGGCCTTTTATTTTTATTAACATTTGATTATGCAAGTACATTTAAAAAAAATACACTTTTAAGACACTACAAGTGCATTGAACACTGTTAAGTGCTCTTCTTTTTTGTGTTTTACAGTATTCAGTGTGTGTGTTGTATCATGCTATATTCTGTTATGTTGTATGTTTTGTGTTGTACTGTATTGTGTCATATGTGTTGTTTGTTGTTTTGGCTACCTGAGTCGAGGCTCTTGAGGAGTCTGTAGAAGTTGGGGAAGAACTGAAGGTCCTGCAGTCCATCTTCAGGGTTCAGTTCGTTTCTGTCATTCCCATCGCTCACGGCGTCCCATGAGTCTTCAGCCCTCACTGTGTCATCTCTAATCTCATCCTCCCGTTCTTCATCACCATTATCATCATCACCACCATTATCATCATCACCTTCATCCTCATCATCATATCGTCGACTGGGCCTGTCTTCCTCATCCTGAAGAGAAGAATCCAAGCAAATAGAGAGTTTTTTTTTTTTTTGTGGATAAATATGCAGTTGGTAGAAACACTACAGACACACAGTCACACACTCGTACCATATTGTTTTGTGTGTCTTTCACAGAATTAACAGGGTAGTCCATACTGAGGTCTCCAATCATGTTATCTTTGGCATTTTTGGTGATCAGATCCTGCAGGGCTTCAGCAACTTCATACTCCAGTGTCTCTGCCTGACTGTCTGTGATCTGAAGGTCAAACAAAAGAACACAACACCTGCTAGAACAATCAATTCACAAAGGTATTATTGTATGACAATCTATTTTCCATGCTATTTAGGCTGGTTAAACTGGAATATGTTTCCCTAGAGGAATTAATACATTATGCATGATGTTTATTGCATGGCTCGTCAATATGGCAGCTATCAGAATCACTGCGCACGCCACAATTTGAATCTCTTACTAGACCCAGCTTGAGCAGTTTAGACACAATTCTGTCAAATACTCCTCGGTCATCCTCTTCGTAGATTTTGTTGGCGATTTTCTGGACGATGTCATGAGCTGTTAGAGGGGTCCCGTCCAGCTGCCGAAAACTTTCAGGATCATCTGAAAAGGAACACATTAAAATACTTCACATCCCTCCAAGGAGGATAACTTTAAATATAGAGTTTTAATAATTGTTCTAATTCTATGAGAATAGGGACGTTTTTCTTAGCTGATAAATAACAAAAAATGTTGGGAGCCAATCAGAATCACCTGATTTTAAAGAGCTTGAGCATTTAAAGCAGCAGCTTGTGCTTATAATAAACAGATATTAAAATATTATCTGTTGGTGTGGATGCTTTATTGTTATAGTTATCGTTCCAGTTTCTTACATAACTGTACTGTATCCACTTTTTTTTTTTTAATAAAGAATTCTACCTGGTCTCGTGGCAAAAACGTACCTGGGGGGACTTTTTCGCGAGACGCGAAATACGTACCAATAAGTACATATCACTGCAGTTTCTAAAATAAATGAACACTAGAGGCAGTAAAACTCCGACACCTTTTATTCCTTTTCACACAAATTTACAGAGTTTCGATTAATAATAAATTTTTCTGCATATAAGGAAGTTCAAATGGCACAGTTGCATCAACAAATGCATTTGTATGTGAGTTTTGCATTTGTTAACACTATCGGGTAGGTTTAGGGTTGGGTTTGGCATATTTCCAACACGATAGAGCAGTAACTTTTAGCGACAGTCCCCGGATATTTGAATTCTGAACCGCCGCAATACGTACCTGAAGCAACGTAATAAAAACACAGCAATACGTACCTATATCAACGTAATAAAAACGTGCCAGTGTTCACGTATTGAACCCGTGTTTTAGCGCTACTCAGTAGACATTTCGTGCAGTAAGGTACGTAAAAACGGTGTTGCAGAAAAGTACCCAGAGGTACGTATTTTTATGAGACCAGGTTGAAATAATTAAGTTCGAAATGAATCAATATTTCATGTCCATTTATTTAACAAGCATTTCGCCTCTGGGTTCTGATCACCTTTTCAAGTTTATTTTACAATAAACTATCCCTTACTTATTTTGGATAATAACCAGGAGCATTTCTAGCCTTTCATCTGTATTGGGGAATGGATATAACTTGATTATAAATGAACTGCTGATGGACTGTAGGTAGCCTGAATATCCACCTTATCCAGCATTTTTGGGTGTCTTTTTCTGTGCCATAGGTTTAATTTCTAGTGGGCTGTATTTGATATTGCTTTGTCAGAAGCCTACAAGCTCAAAGCTCTTAAAAAGCGAAATTAAGTAGGAGGAGAACGTGTGAAACAGAGATCTGAACGTTGGAGCTGAAATCTGCCAGCAATTCTTGTCTGTCTGTTGTAATTCCTGTAACCCAGTGAAATCACACAAAAACACCTCCCACTCTGTTATCTGCCATTATCTACCACAGAGATCGACTTACACTGCCTTAACGCTTCCAGTAAACTCACCATCTGCCTGAAACGTGACACTGATCAAATGTCTGACGCTCATTCTGAGTCAGAGGTCTTAGGTGGTCTGAGTGCCTTTATGACATGACGGTGTCATAAAAGAAAACTTAAAGCGGTCATATTATAAGTTAATTGAGCTGCAAAAACTGCTTTTCCTTGGATAGCTGACATCAGGCAGATGAATACATGAACACGTGACTGCCCACATCTATTCTGTGTTCAGAAACATGGTCCACCCAGTCTTGGTGAGGTAAAAAGAAGGACATAGAACAGGTATTCCTATTCCTAAACCCCATAAGAGCTAACAAGTCAAATGTGGTGAAGTCTGATTAGCACCTACAGCTCTGCAGAGCCTTTGTGATTTTGCGATTTTTTAATGAATCATAAATCACAATACATCACAATGTAACTGTGGATATGCAAAGAGGTTGTTATTGAAGGAAGACAACATATATTTACAAAACTACTGTATAATTGACCCAGCAGCAAACTGGTAGCCCATATGCATTAATAGTAGTTTCACATGTTGGTTAGCCAATCATAACACAGGGCATACTTAAAACGCACAACGACTGCATATTTAATTGTAAGAGTCATAAAGTAGAAAATTAAACATGAAAAAAAATAAACAGTTGATTTTCATCCAATAAACTTCATAGGGTCGGGGAAAAATGGTAAAAGGACTAATGACATGACCTCTATGAGCTATTGTGCTATTATTAGGTTAGAAGGGTGTTTAATGTGGGTGTATGTTTAGTCTGACTGCCCTGTTGTAGGGGACTGTGGGGTTTAATGCTACAGTATAAACATCCAGTACAGCAGCCTGTGGAGGGATAATCCTCTGATTCTCTCTCTCCTTCTCTCTCTCACTCTGTCTCTTTATCTCTACAAAATACCTCCTGATTGACCTATGGTGTCTGCCACCTGTTCCTGTATTTAGGATCACATACGGTTACAGGGATGGATTAGCACTTTCAAAGTGGGAGATAATTTGGCTTTTCACAAGTCACAACTAAAAAAATGTTCATTGATCTTTTACGTTTTCCTGAGGCTGGCTATTTTACTATTTAGAATCCACAATGTTCTGACACATAAAATAGTTAAATGGAATAATAACACAGTAAAATACATACTAAATGATAAGTGAAACAGTATGCAATTATAAATGGACATAAATATGGTTACATTTTTATTTGACTTAATGTTTAAATGTCTTGACTTCTTTTTTTTTGGTCAAATAGTCAAATCAAAATGGGCATAAATAAAACACAGATGCAAAAAATTACATCTGGTTCATTCGTTAGACTGGAAACAGCAAGCTCATTGCATTGTGTACAGTCAGTGTATGTGCAAACAACATACTTTGCAAAGTACACATACTACATAATGTGCTCTTCTGAATAAGGCTTTGCCAGCTTGGTAGTTGTAGTTCTTACCTTGGTATTTGTAGTCCATTCCATTCTTAGTAGAGTCATAATCATCGGCCAGTCTTCTGTTTTTGGTAGTGTCGGCCTCATCAGTACCGTATCGCTCATCCACAGAATCTGAGATGGGAGTCTCGTTGTTTGACTCTTTGGACTTCTCAGCCAGAGACTTAAGGAAAGTGATGTCATCGTCCTCAGAGTTTGACTCTGCCTCAGCTGGTGGCGTTGGCTTGGGTTCTGCATGGATGAACAGAAAACACTTGTGAGCTATTGATCACTGTGAAGCACTATGTCTGCATAAGATTATTCCTCACCTGCCTTCTTGATGCTGTCAGCTTCTGCAATCTGTTGGGAAAAAATAAATAAAAACCAGTCTTGACTTTTACTGAAATTTTAATTTAAATATATTTGAACTTAATGCATAGAACATCTATACCCAGTCAGAATCAAGGGTACAAAAGTAGTACAACAGTAGTTGTGTCTGATGCAGATGTACAAAGTATATTGTGTCTTTTACATAACATAGAAATGAACAATAAGTTCATAATTCTGAAATCACACCTGCTGTTCTAATGGCTTCTCTTCAGTCAGCTCTCGGTTATACATGCTCTTATCTGGAACAGGAAAGAAACACACAATCACATTTAATATAGGCAAAGATTACTGATGGTACAATAGATCAGTCATTGCAGACCTTAAAGGGACACCCAAAAGCTGAATTTATTTTTGTGTTCCACAGAAGAAAGAAAGTCATTTCATTTAGAACAACATGAGGGTGAGTAAATGATTACAGAATTTTCATTTTTGGATGAACTATGCCTTTAATACACTCACAATGGATAACAAAAACAGGAGGACGATGAGAAATATATATATATATATATCTGCAGTATCACTACAGTATCTGGCTCAGATTACTATTGATTGGTTATTACATTGTAATTATAATGTAAAGACATTGTAACAACATAAATGAGTTTTTGAAAAACAAAATCTGTGCACCTATGTTGTATGAATCGACTATAATTTTGAAGGAAGCAAGACACTCTACATTTACACAAGACTATTTTTACCCTAAAGAAATAGTTATTAATATGCATTTTCTTCAATCTGTCTATGGTTGTTGAGATCTTTGATGCATTCAGTTGCAGTCCAAACTGTCCAAGAGAAGCTGCCATGGAATAATCGGATTACAGGACAAAAGATTAAATAAAGGCCTTTGAAAACTGAGGCTTGAGCTTCCTATACAATAAATGACGAAAACAACAAACAAACAAAATAAACCATCCAATTCATTCACCTTCTTCCCATATTTATATGGAGTTATCAGCCAATATGGGTTTTTCAATGATTAATATATACTGATGGCCAACATAATCCATATATACACATTATAGCCTATGTAAAATACAACTTAATACATATGTAATTGTTGAAATTAACCAGAGATCCTAACATTTACTTCCATTTGAAAGCACAGCATGTGCACGCTGAAGTCCAGACATGTGTTAATGAGTCAGTTGGACGCTGTCCTAAATATCAAAATAGCAAAATATCGTCTGATTAATTTAACGTGGCCTATATATTAATCTATACATGAAGCAATTTTTTTGTTTTATTACACGTAATGCATGTTTTGTGTGTTCCACTTAGTCGGATGAATCTTCTAAATCAAATATTCCACATCTTCTAATATATTGGACCGATGTGTTGGACTATAGGCTTGTTGGTTATTCAGTAACTCACCGTCGGGTCCGGCAGGTGTGGGAAACGCGCTGATCTGCGATATTACAGCAAGGACAACCACAATCCCTACGCGTTTTGACGCCATCCTTCAGCTGGGGTTCAGATGTTTTCTCTCTCGCTCTCTCTGTTGTCCTCTGTGAAGATAAACGCGCCGTTGGTTTGGTTTTGTGAAGCGCGCTGGGGTTGGCAGGATGCCGCGCGCTCTCAGCGCCTCTCCTCTATAAGCGCAAGGGCTTTAGTTCCAGTGGAGCTGTTGAGTCCCTGCAGTGCTGAAACCAGGTCGCTGGCTATAATTAACAGCGGATAAGCTGATGGGAGTTCCTCGTGTATAACGGGCCCTGACTCCAGCAGCTCATGGATGGAGGGAGGAGGAGGAGGAGGAGGAGGAGGACGGCACGGTCACATCCGCCCATGTGCGTCAGTCTGAAGCACCTGCGTCACACGCGCATCTCGCATTCATTCATGCTGCGGGGCAGCAAACGACCGATGAGCGCAAAAAAGAGCAGATAAGAGACAAGACGGCACTCTGAAAAGAACCAGTTTATGACAATGCAGATTGACATGCAAATTAAGAGGTATAGAGATATGGGTATAGAGAGTGCTTTGAGGTATAGGCTACACATGCGTTGGCTGGGAGCGATAGATAGATAGATAGATAGATTACTTGTTATATTAGATTTCATATGTGCTTTTATGGATAAAGTGATATGGAGTATTGATGGATTGATATGGTTTTATAGGCAAAACTTGACAGCAATCTTGACAACAAGAAGGTATTGAAAATGTGTTGCCCAGGAAAAAAAGATACAGTTCATTGAACGCACTGACCTTTTATGACACTGATGTCACCATGGGAACTGGCATTTTATGGGCTTTTTAGCAAACAATTATGAAACACAAAATCAATGATGAAACAACAAAAATACAAAAAGTTCTAAAATATTAAGCTTGAACTATTAAAAAAAAAACATTTTAGGAAGATTTTATAATAAATTATTTGTAAAATACATATAGCACTTACCCCAATAAAAATATGACATGCTAACCTGACTTTTATGAAGGAAAAATCTACCTTGTCCTGCAAAACACAGTTCATTATGCTCAGTTGTTTACCCAAAGCTGTTATAAAAATGGGATAAAATACGAATTTTAGTTTGAAGGGCAGAATTGACTGAAATGATTCTAATTTAAGAAGGTCTTAAACTAGAGAGCAGCATGTAAAACCACTGGTAGACAAAAACATTTTATTAATTCGACTTTTGATCAAAAACTTCTATCAAAAAAGCTAACCTTGTGACAGTGTTCCCATGTAATACAATAGGGATAATATTGTAATACACTCTTAATACTAAAGGTGCTTCACGATGCCATAGAAGAACCTTTTTGTCTAAATGGTTCCATAAAGAACCTTCAACATCTGCAGAACCTTCCTGTTTGTGGCAAAATAAGTTTCTTCAGATTATAAAAAGGTAAGAAAGAGATGGTTCTTTAAAGAGCCTTTGACTAAATGGTTCTTTGTGGAACCAAAAATGGTTCTTCTATGGCATCGCTGTGAAGCAGTTTTATTTTTTAAGAGTGTATGTTAGCAGAAAAATACAAAGAGAAAAGATCAAATTACTAATTAAATTTTTTTCATTTCTCTTTGCTTGCTTCCTTTTGGATGCCTCCTCATTTTTATCTTGCACTTACTATACTTACAAACATTGAGTCTGTATCTCTAGTGTATATTTATTGCATAAATCTAATCCGTACAGAAGTTGATGTATATGCTTATATGACTTTATATGAAAATATAAAGATATATTAAATATTGTATACATATATAGACAAATGCTTATTTGACATGACTTAACATGACTTGACATGACTTCGATTATCTTGGGAGGTTGTGAGTCGCTCATGGTGAATGTGTTCTGTGCAGGAGGAGTGTGTTAAACAGCTCATGATTGCCTCTGCAGGTCACACGCATGAGCTGCCTGTGTCAGTGCATACAGGCTGTCAGGTGACATGTGACCTCAAATAGCTTCATCAAATGAACAATGAATATCCTTTCATGTGTCATGCTGAGAACATTAAGCATCTGATTATTGAGAAATCATTATCAGCTTGGCAGATGCACATGAGATACATCCCTGTTATCAAATTCTGAAAAAACATTCTTGAATTTAATTTAATTTTATATTAAAATTTTAAAAAATATTTTTTATTGGTCAGTATATATCAGGGTAGGTTTATTTCGAGGTCAATTGTATAGGCCCCTATAAAGACTTATTAAAATTGCTAATTTATTTTTAGAATGAATGCATGGTGAACGTTTGTGTAAATGCCCCAATATAAGTTGCCATAATGGGAATTTGTCATTAACCTATAGACAGTGTTTTTCAGATTTCACTGAATAAGAACATGCTGTTTTGACTTTCACATCTTCTAATATTTAATATATTTTCTTTAGACATAAGCTAAAATGTTACTTAATGTAGGTCATTTTTTGAATTTGTATACTTAATTTCATTATAAAAGCTAAATATAATTTGAAAGTATCGTTTTTACTTTTTGTTAGTCAATGTTTGGTTTAGTTTACATACTATAAAGGCAACTTTGAAAAACCTTAATTTTTATTATGAAAATAATAATAATAATAAAAAAAACATCAACACTCTGGTGTCAAGTGAAAATACGATTTTAAACAAAGTACATTTTTCTTGTGTGCAGAGTGTTATTTAGACAAAATAAACAAAAGAGGGTTGAACAGAAAACCTTCATTTTCAATCAAGAACACGGTTGTTTCTTCATGTCTTCCAACCATTTATAGGGTAAATTTGTGTTTGATCTGTCAATCTGTTTGTTTGGTGTATTGAGGGCATGACAGGGTTTGTGGGTACTGTTCCTAATTCATATGACAGGTTCTGTTCACCCACCACAATCTTGTCAAAGCAGATTTTCGCTGATCTCAGAGCAGTAAGGTTTATAGTGTTCTATATTTGTCTTAAAAACCACTTTGAGATTTGTTTTTGGAAAGAACCACTTTTGCACATTCAATATTTCCAATATTTCCAATATCTATTTGCGCTGATCAAGGCATCACCTTTCACTGTGCATGAGTTGATATGCTTCCGTTCATGTATGTTTGCAGCAGCAGACAGCTCTGCGTCTGTGTGAAAGTGGGACAGAGGTCATCCGGCTCTTCTCTGTGAGTCTGAACACAACAGGCTCTTTGTTCAGATTCTTCATTAGCACTGCTCATAATATGTTAGAGCCAGTTAGTTGAGAATGCAATGAGACAGCATTGATAAAACAAAACACAAAGATGCAACACAATGATTTAAAAAAGAAATATTTTATATACTTGCATACTCAGAAACTGCTAGTAAAATTCACAAATAGTTACGAAGAAAATAAAGGGATTTTTGATGTGTTTATTATTGGTGTCCAGTAGAGGTCACTAATGTCTTATTTCTATTGGAGAATAAAGGGAAAATAGAAAGACGACGTGGATATTCTAACCTCTACCCCATGGATTATGTGACACATCGTACTGAAACAGTCTAGAAACATGAAATTCTTTCATTTTTTACAATACATTTTTGCATCTATGATTTCTTGTTGCAATACTGAAGCGCTCTTGAGGAAGCTTCAAACTGATAGCGAAAATGAACTTAATGTTACATTTGTCTTGGCAATTATCTTGGTGTGAGGAAACTCTGGAAAACATAGGTTGTACAAATTAGATGTGACCTAGGATTAGAAAACAGGATGACGAACTGAACAAACTTCAACATTTTTAATGTGCGTTAACAAAAGCAGTCTACCCTTGTTAGTTAGGTCTATCTCTGCTGTAGAGTGTTATGCTAGCTGTTAGTACATGGTTAGTAGCCTACATGTTAGTACATGACATAACAACACCATTATACATTCACTACTCTGAATAAAGGCATTTCATTATATACAGGGCTCAGATAGTGTCGATAGTATACATTAAAATAGCGTTTCAGTGACATTCAGTGACAAACAATTACTATCAAGACTAATTCACGTGTTTTAATTTTTAGAATGTCTTGGAATATTTCTAGTGAATTACAGCCATACGTTCAGCTTCTATTTGACATCATCAGCGTTAGAGTTAAAAGGACTCTTATTTTGACAGGTTGTCTTTATGTCTTCAGGCGGAAGGTCCTTTCTTTAATTAGAGTAAAGTTCACGGACGATATTTTGACCTGTCAAATATTGTGCCTCAGCTTTTGAGTTGATCACGTCCACATCAGCATGTTTGCACTAAAGGCATTAAGGGTTTTTTCTCCTGCGACGAAAAATGTTTATTTGCGGAGTAAACAGGCGTTTAGCGTGACTATGTCGAGGTGAGTCTCATTTGTGTTGACTTTATTGTTTTCATTATCTTTCGTGTTATATCATAGTTATGTTTCATCATAATTCACAGAAATAGTTCATTTTAGTAGTTCTCGTTTTAGTTATTTATTTCTCTGATGCATGAAAGGAAAAACGATGCATTTTTACATATGAACAACATTTATATTTTTATTGTAAAAAAATCAATAAGAAAACTGGTAGGTGTTGTTACTAAAACATTGGTGTAAAAAAAATAAAGCTAAGAAGTATCTCTAAAAACATTAAATATATGTGACCCTGGACCACAAAACCAGTCTAAAGTGTCAATTTTTCAAAATTGAGATTTATACATCATCTGAAAGCTGAATAAATAAGCTATCAATTGATTTATGGTTTGTTAGGATAGAACAATATTTGGTCAAGATACAACTATTTGAATATCTGGAATCTGAGGGTGCCAAAAAAATCAAAATATTGAGAAAATCGCCTTTAAAGTTGTCCAAATTAAGTCCTTAGCAATGCATATTACTAATCAAAAATTAAGTTTTGATATATTTACGGTAGGAAATTTACAAAATATCTTCATGGAGCATGATCTTTACTTAATATCCTAATGATTTTTGGCATAAAAGAAAAATCTATAATTTTGACCCGTACAATGTATTTTTGGCTATTGCTACAAATATACCCCAGCGACTTAAGACTGGTTTTGTGCTCCAGGGTCACATATTGTCTTTTAAAATATAGCATGTAAGGCAGCTTAATAAGGTCCACCGAGCAATTAAAGTTATTATTTTTCCTGTTAACTTTCTATAGTAAAGAATATGATCATATCAAATCCTTCCCCACATTATATGTCTGCAATAGAAAATCTTTTTCAGTATTACCAATGTAATCAGAAATGTTGAATTTACATTATCATAATGACAAATAAGGAGGGCAGCTATATATAAAATTGTGGGAAAGAAAAAATATAATCTCATTGTAGTTTTGTTGTAACATAACATCCTGAATGGTTAAAAATAGCAAACAAAAAGGGTTAGTATGTGCATTTTCAAATTACACCAATATTACAAATTGGTGTTTCTTACATGTTTTTAAAGTAAATGTTTTTTTTAGAATGAAATTAGAATGCAAATAATATCAAAAAAGTATAATGGTATTATACTTTTCCGTATATGGACAGTTTTGTCTTTTATGGTACCTTGGAGTAATGAATATGGTTGAATATATTATTAAACGGGATGATATATCAGTGGTAATAATATATTTATAATATTTGGAGAACTATAGCAAAGGGGTTAATTTGATTCCCAGAATGCAGCATACGGAGGTCCAGCATGGGGAAACAGCAGCACCCTTTCGACCAGAAACGTCCATGGCCAAGACACTGATGGACATCGGCACCAGACGGATCTTCTTAGAGGAGCATGACCTGTTCCGTCAAAATGTGCGGCGGTTCTTTCAGGAGGAAGTTGTTCCGTATCACGCTCAGTAAGTTGCCAGTGTGGTTCATCGCTCTCTGAATATGACATAATAGATACAGAATGAAACTGTAATAGATACAGAATGAAAATGTGTTTCAAAATGTATGCACATACTGTATGCTTATAGGTGGGAGAAGGCTGGTGAGGTCAGCAGAGAGGTTTGGAAAAAGGCCGGAGAACATGGATTGCTGGGAATATATACATCTGAGGAGCATGGAGGAATCGGAGGGGACCTCCTGTCTGCTGCTATAGTGTGGGAGGAGCAGTGAGTAGCCCCACCTTCACCTGCCTATCATAGTAGCTCCTCCCTTACCTGTCTGATCGTACAGTGGATTGGGCAAAATTCAGAATTTTAAAACTCTTTCGATTTCAAATCATGAATGTGAATTTCAATGGGACATCCCATAGGAATTTAAATTTTAGTGACGGGAAGAGGAATTTACTGAACTGTAATTCAGTCAAATTTATCATAGTTATACAACAGGAGTTATGCAATAAAATATAAAATAAATTAATTGGACTGATTAGATATAGACTGAGATATGTTTTGTGTTCAGTCCTGTCAAAATAATTACCACAGTCATCAAAACAAATTTTAATTTTGCTACCACAAAACAACACAAACACCACAAAATGTCCTCCATATTCTGTTCTGAAAGTGTAAAATAGAAATATATAAAATTTTAATAATAAAATGAAATATTGAATAATAGATACAAATAAATATAGACATATATGTTCCACAGCGCTGTAACAGACTCTATGTAAGTTATCGCAAACGCTTGATTGCAGTTGTTGCTGCTAAGTGTGGCCCAACCAGTTATTAGGTTTAGGGGGCAAACACTTTTTCACACAGGGCCATGTAGTTTTGGATTTTGTTTTCCCTTAATAATAAAAACCTTCATTTAAAAACTGCATGTTGTGTTCACTTGTGTTATCTTTTACTAATATTTAAATTTGTTTGATGATCTGAAACATTAAAGTGTGACAAACATGCAAAAAAAAGAAGAAATCAGGAAGGGGGCCAACACTTTTTCTCACACCACTGTATATATATATATATATATATGAAATACACATTTCTACAGGTGACATTTTAAGCACTGATTATTGATATCATCAAATGTCTCTGGAAATACCTCATCTGCTTGATATGTTTTTGAAGAATTATTTAAAAATACACTTCACTTTAAAATGCATCACAATATGGTAGCAAACCAGTCATATGTTTTAAACTTATAGCAGTCAGTTTTTTTATAAATTCAATCATAATTCTACTTCCTTAAATTCAAATTTGAATTCCAATTCTATGTTTTGCTTGCTGTCTCAGTTCAAATTGAACTGGGATTTAAAATGCATTTCAGTTTCGAATAAAGCACAACGCTGAATGTCTAGGATGTAGGTTTTTCCCTTGGCTTTGTGTGTCTGTGTTTGTAATGTAGTGGGTGTTCTGGCTCTATTTGTGTTGTAGAATGTACTGTAACTGCAGTGGTCCTGGGTTCTCTCTTCACTCTGAGATTGTAATGCCTTATATCAGTCACTATGGCTCTAAGGCTCAGATCGAGCACTATATTCCACAGATGACTGCTGGGAAATGCATCGGGGCCATCGCTATGACAGAACCTGGAGCCGGCAGGTGGGCTTCAGTGCAGGCATGACATTAAAGAATAAATTATACTTTTAAAGATACAAAGACACTGACTCCCAGGGTGCATCACATTTTCATGCTTGCGGAGTCAAATAGTGCACAATCATTTGTTCCGTGTCGTCCTGGTTCACATGTTTAATTTTCTCTCTGAAGTGACCTTCAAGGAGTGAAGACATTTGCAAAAAAAGATGGAACTGACTGGATTCTTAATGGAAGCAAGGTATGAACAGTGGCTTCTGATGCAGAGAATTTTTCTATCAGTCAGTCAATCAATAAAACTGTTCATATAGCATCTATCAAACAAATTCAATGCCAGCATAAATAAGTGACTGACGCAAAATACAAGAAATGAAAATAGCACAAAAATAGTTTATAATAAAAAAGTAAAATAGAATAGAAATAAGTCATTATGATGGTAATATACAAAATTATAATAATTTTTTAATTTAGGATTGAAATAGAATTTAAAATGCTATTCAGCTTAATGCCAATGTAATAACAAATGAAGTGGGAGTTGCAAAAGATAGTGATATTTTTTAAATGTAAATTAAAATCATTTTAATTTACATTTAAAAATATCAATATCTTATGCACCTCTCACTTCATTTGTTGTTACAGTGGCATTTAGTGTAATGGCTGAATGGGGCATCAGAAAATATTTTAATTCTACTGTGTGGAACAGCTAAATGAGAAAAGTTTTGGTTTTAGTTAGCACTCATGCACCACAATTTTGAATTAATTTTAGATGATTTATTGTATTCTTTGGTAGACCAGAAAGGAGAGCATTACAGTAGTAGTCAAACCAGTTAGTTATATAAGCTTGCATCAGTCTCTCCATGTTGCTCAGAGAAAGAAATGTCCTAATTTTATCAATATTCTTCATGTGATAAATGTTTGCTCCTTGATGTGGTTTAAGTCCTAATATATTCTCTTTAGGGGTAAGTTTCACTGTGACTCTTATCCTGATTGACTCACTTGCTAACTAAAATACAGTTAGCAAGTGAGTCAATCAGTAGCATTTACAAATTAAAAAGTAATGGTCTTAAAATTGATCCTTGAGGTACCCCACATAGTGTTTGAGTTACCATTTATAGATACAAAAAAAAAAACGTACTTACCTTGAGGTGCACTTTATAATGTTGCTAAGATTTTTCATCAAAAACAATCATAATTTAAAAATAAATTAATTAATAAATAACTTAAATAAATAAAGAGTGAATCTGCCGATTAGTTGGTTAGTTATTTTCAATTGTTTTGAATTTTCCACCAGGTTTAGTTAAATCACAGTCTTGTTCTTTGGTCACTTTCTCTCAGGTGTTCATCACTAACGGTTGGATGAGTGATGTGGTGATTGTAGTTGCTGTAACTAACCGTGAAGCAAAGACAGCAGCTCATGGAATCAGTCTGTTCCTGGTTGACAGCGGCACTAAGGGCTTCCAAAAGGGCCGCAAACTGGAGAAGCTCGGACTTAAAGCTCAGGTCACCCTTAAAGCTTCCCAAATACATAACCTAATATATTAATACATACTAATATATAATAATATATACATATAATATATAATATACATATACATATAATACATATACTAATATATAATATATACATGCATACATAGCCAGTTTGTGTAAGAGTTTACTTAGAATTTATTGAAATGTCTACAAATTAAATTTACATTATAGTTTAATATAGATTAATAAAGAGGTTAAGTTATAAATGTATTGGGTATTTGTTTCTGTGCAGGATACAGCTGAACTGTTCTTTGAGGATGTGCGTTTGCCCGCTGAAGCTTTGTTGGGTCAGGTCAATAAGGGATTTTATTATCTGATGAATGAGCTGCCACAGGTATAAGAGTGAGAGTACAAATCTGCTGCTCTCTTTTGAGTTTTCCTATTCTTATTCTTGATAATACTGCAACATATTTAATGGCTTGTGTGTGGGTAGTTGTATGATATATATTCCATATAATGCCTTAAAAAGTAGTGTTTCTAAACACAGTGCTGCTTTTTAGAATAATGTAGAGAGCATAAATGAGTATTATTTGTATTATTGAGTCCCTATTTCTAACAACCTGCTTTAGGACCCAATCAATTCCCTCTCACATATTGCCTCCGTCTGTGAAGATCTTTTGTACATGGATTGCATTGTCGGCATAAGATATCAAAATATGAGGGGATTAAGATTTTGGGAATTTGAAAAGCTCTACAAATGGGCTCACACCCCATTATAATGAACTATAATATGAATAGGGAGAGATTTCTTTCTGTCATTTTGCAGGAGCGCCTTCTTATATCAGTCATGGCTCTTGCCAGCTGCGAGTTCATGTTTGAAGAGACAAGGAACTATGTGATGCAGCGGAAGGCGTTCAGCAAGACCATCGCTGACCTGCAGGTAAATATAAAGGGGACATATTAAAGCTTTTTTTTTTTTTTTTAACTTGGAAAAAAAATTAAACTATTTTTTTATATAATTGAAGGTAAGCAAGCAAACATTTCTAAAACATTATTCCAAATTTTTGTTGATACTGATTATTATTTACATTGTTATAGGAATATAAATAAAAAACTACAGAAAAATGGTCCCTTTAATTACTAATTAATTAATCATTTAATTTTTGTTATCAGTAAATAAAGAATCATTAAAATACTGTTTTATCTTTTATAAAAGCTCTGCATCATTTTTCCACGTAAACAATGAAGCTTTTCTATTTTAATCTGTGAATATGTGAGATACAGCACTGTTCTCTCATATCTAATGTAATTTTGACATGTTCCATTCTTTTTAATAGTCTAATTGCCTGGTTCACATAACAATAAACACTGAAATATGATGAAAAATCTATTAGGATAAGACTGAAATGATTAGGAAACAAACTACATATAAACTTCAGAGGGATTCAGGTTCTAAACACAACAAGCAAGAGCAAAAGATTTGGTGAACTTTTACACATTTTACTCATCATTAGTTCTTCTGGAGATTAGTATCTGTCCTACTTCCACTTTATTACCTTGCTGGGACTGGGCGGACCAAGTTTCTGAACACTTTATAGGCATTGTTGACATGTGAACGGCTATAGTTTTTGATGACAGAAAACTAGCAATTTCAGAACAAGCCACAACTTGATTTTAAAGGGGTCATATGAT